GCGCACAGGATGACATGGAGAGCACCCGGAGTAGGCAACTCTCATTGTCAGGTTAATACGTACTTGGGGCAACTGGAACACAACGGGCTCTTATACTCCCCGCGGCACGACTGACAGGCAAAATCTGCAAAACAGGCTTGGCCATCCTTCACCATTTCCTCTCCTTCCTGCATCCTCCTCCTCCTCCTCCTCTTCCTCCTCCGTCCCTCTTCCTTGTGGATAACTCCTCCTCGTCGCACCACCAGACATGTCGGTGAGGCGGGCATGTCGTTTCGCTCGAGGCTTCTTCACAACTGATGGCTCTAAAACAAACTTCTCCAACACCTACACGGATGATTGCGGATGGACTGGAGTATACCATCAAATTTCGGCTCCGGCCCTCCATGCTTGAGTTAAGTGGGGCCTGTCCCTCTAGAGGGGGAATATTCAAAAATAGTCAAAAAATAATATCGGGACGACTGTTTCACTATTGTTGATATTGTTTGGGGTATGTATTACTTGTCGTCAAAGTTCGGCCTGTAGGGGGGCAGGCCCGACTTAATGCTTGAGTGGAGGGCGTTGAAGTTCGGCGTGCGACGTGGCCACGAGCGCGCTCGAGGACATGACTGCAGAGGGGGACGCGGGGAGAGGCGCCCCCCTGGCGAGCCTCCGCCGCCCGAGAACTGCTCGCAGCAGGCAGGGCCTGGGAACGGGACGCACAGGAACATCCTCCCCCTCCTCCTCCACCTCCTCCTCATCATATCCTCCTCCTCCTCCTATCCTCCTCCTCCTCCTCCTCCTCCTCCTCCTCCTCCTCCTCCTCCTCCTCCTCCTCCTCCTCCTACCATGTGTCGTCCTCGGAGGCGCGTGTCCAAGTGTGGCACTCGCCCGAGCGCCAAGAAAATTTCTGTTGAGAGCTCCCCGTGGCACGGATGGAGGACGGCCCGTTATCAAAGAAGGAGCTCTCGCCCTGGTGGCGCACAAACTTATCACGCGTACACCTTCGCAACAGCTACACCGATGGCGGGGCTCCGTTTCACAAAGGCTCGTCCGCTTCAGATTTCCCGCGGCGAAATGGCGCGATGCCCAAAGTGTGCAGCAACAACATGGACGACGGGCCGCTGACGTTCGAACGAAGGCTCTCGCTTGAGACTCCCTCCGATGCTGCGACCCTGAACTGAAAATATCTAGCAGGTTCACGGATCGAGTGCGGTTCCTTTTCGACATGAGGCTGTCGCAGTACACCTTCCTGAACTGCATGTTTCTAAACGTTGCATGTATGCCACTTGTTGTTGATATTAATGGGGGACGGCTCTTTTTCAAAATGGGCTCCCGCCTGAATGGCAGGCACCTTGGGGGGGTTCATATCAAAAGAGCCAATCCCCGTGAAGCCATCCAAATTTACATGACAACGCCGGGGTGTATTGTAGCGTCGTTGGCACCTTGTGATTTGCCTCTGGTCACTCCTCCTTCTCCTCTTCCGCATCTTCATCCTACTCCTCCTCATCCTCCTCATCCTCCTTCTCCTCCTCCTCCTCCTCCACCACTGCTTCCCCCACCCCCCCACTGCCTCCCTGCCTCCCTCCATCCTCCGCCTCTTCTTCCCCCCTGCCCCCTCGTCCGTACTCCTCCTCCCACCACCACCACCACCACCTCCTCCTCCTCCTCCTCCTCCTCCTCCTCCTCCTCCTCCTCCTCCTCCTCCTCCTCCTCCTCCTCCTCCTCCTCCTCCTCCTCCTCCTCCCTACCTCATGATCCTACTCTTCCTCCTCGTCCACCCTCCTCCTGTACGACGACGACTGACGACGAAAACGACGACGACGACGAGGACGAAGACGACAGCGGCGGCGGCGGCGACGGCGACGACGAAAGCAGCGGCGGCGGCGGCGGCGGCAACGACGGCGTCGGCGGCGACAACGGCAGCGACGAAGGCGGCGACGACGACGAGTACTGACTGGCCGCTCGGCAGACGAGCCAAGAGGCACCATGGGCGGGCGGCGGTCCGCCATCGTAGGGCTGCCCTCGATGACAGGCTGCGCGCGCGCGCTGGACCCCGCGACGTCGCGCACGGGCCTCCTGCTCCTATCCCTCCTCCTCATCCTCCTCCTCGCCCTGCTTATCCTCCTCCTCCTCCTCCAATTCCTCCTCATCCTCCTCTTCCTCCTCCTCCTCCTCCTCATCATCATCCTCCGCCTCCTCTTCCTCCTCCTCCTCCTTCTGCTTCTCCTCCTCCTCCTCCTCAATCCTTCTCCTCCTTCTCCTCCTCCTCCTCCTTATCCTCCTCCCCCTCGCTTCCTCCTTCTCATCCTCCTTTTCCTCATCTTCGTCCTGCTCCTCTTCCTCCTCCTCATCATCATCACATCACCATCATCATCATCATCATCATCAACAACAACAACATCAGCATCATCATCATCATCATCAGCAGCATCATCATTATCATCATCGTCATCATCACCATCATCATCATCATCATGATCACCATCATCATCATCATCATCATCATCATCATCATCATCATCATCATCATCATCATCATCATCATCTTTCCTCCTCTCTCCTCCTGCTCCTTCTCCTCCTCCTGCTCCTCCTCATCCTCCTCCTCCTCCTCCTCTTCCTCCTCCTCATATTCTTCCTCCTCTTTCCCATCCTGATTCAACAGCCCTCCCCATATCATCCTCCTCCTCATCCTCCTCACTCCTCTCCTCCTACTCCTCTCCTCCTCTCCTCCCTCCTACTCCTACTCCTCCTCCTCCTCCTCCTCCTCTCCTCCTCCTCCTCCTCCTTCTCGTCCTGCTCCTCTTTTTCCTCCTCCTCCTCCTCCACGTCCTCCTCCTCCTCGTCCTGCTCATCCTCCTCAAGCAGCAATGGCAGCAGCATTAGTTGCATCAGCGCCAGCATCACCATCATCACCACCACCATCATCATCGTCATCACCATCATCGTCAGCACCAGCATCATCATCATCATCGTCGTCATCATCATCATCAACATCATCATCATCATCAGCATCATCATCAACACCCATATCATCATCACCATCATCATCATCATCATCATCATCATCATCATCATCATCATCATCATCATCATCATAGTCATCGTCATCATCTTCATTACCAGCAGCAGCAACATCATCATTTGTTATCTTTCGGACTGCCGCTGGCCCTACCGGGCGCGTGAGAAGGAAATGGCACTGTTCCTGCCATGACACTGCGTCGAGATTATAGCGACCCCCGGGGACTTTGCCTGGGTCGAGGGACGTTTCAGCGCTTACAGACCGCACAAAAATTGAATCAACCAGCTGGCAAAGAGGAGGAGGAGGAGGAGGAGGAGGAGGAGGGAGAGGAAATCAGCATAAAACAATACAACAGGCATTCATACATCTATAGCGAGATACTTGCAGAATGCACATGATGCTGCGTCCAAAGCTAACGTCTCCGCTTCGAACGCAGACCGGATGTTCGTCACCACCTCCCCCATCAGCGCGAGCTCTATGTAGTGGACGTTGTGCCCTTCAACGCCCTGAGCCCCGCAGATGACATAGCCAATCCCCGCCAGCCGGAGCCCATCAGAATGAAGACCGCGATCATTCTCACCATCATCACCATCCTCACCATCATCATCAACAGCAACAGCAACAGCACCAACAACAACAGCAACACCAACAACGACAACAACACCAACAACCACAACGGCAACGACAAAAACAACGACAACAACCATAACCACAACAAAAACAGCAGCCGCAGCATCGGCATCGGCATCGTCATCGGCAGCATCCTCATCATCATGCATCATCAGTATCAGGATCATCTTCACCATCAGCATCGGCATCAGCATCAGCACCAGCATCATCATCATCATCATCATCATCATCATCATCACCATCATCATCATAATCATCATGATCGTCAGCTTCATCATGGTCGTCATCATCATTATCCTTATCAGTATCATTATCATTATTATCAGCATCATCGTCACCACCATCATCCCTACCACCATAATCATCGGAATCATCATCAACATCAGAATCATCATCATCATCATCGTCATCATCACCGTCATCATCATCATCAGCAGCATCATCATCATCGTCACCAGCATCATCACCATCAGCAGCAGCATCAGCAGAAGCATCAGCATCAGCATCATCAGCAACGGCATAATCAACATGAACATCAGCATCATGGTTGTCACCGTCACCGTCATTATTATCATCATCATCATCATCATCATCATCATCATCATCATCATCATCATCATCACCCCCACGACTATCATCATCGGCGTCGTTACCATCACCATCTTCATCCGACATCGTCGTCGTCACAATCATCCGCATGATCAGCATCACCGTCGTCGTTGTGAGAATCGTTCTCACCAAGATCAACCTCATCGACGTCATGATAATAAGCATCATGATCATCGTAGTCACTATCACCACCACAATCATCATCGTCATCGTCGTCGTCATCAGAGTCATCGTCATCATCATGATCATCCTCAGCATCATCGTCATCATCATCACCATCATCAATCATCACCGTCACCATCACCATGATCGTAAGTAATCACTACCATCACCATCACCATTATCATCTCCAGTCCATATCCTACTCCTCCTCCTACTCCGCGTCCCCGCCCCCCTCTTCCTCATCCTCATCCTCCTCTTCCTCCTGCTCCTCCTCCTCTTCCCCGTCCGCTCCTCCATCTCTGTCTTTCTCTGCGATTTTCGCAACAGGTGTGGTCGCCCTGTAACTGACAACAACAGCCAACACGACGCACGCGACCACACGTATATTGCATACAACATAAAGCACGACCCCGAATGGAGGTGACCAACCGCTCTGAAGATACCAATACAAATCCAACACAAGCGTCCCTCCAAAGATTTAGTCTAGCCTCCAGAATGCATCTCTACTGCCCATGCTAATCCACAACCAACAATGCCAATCCTGGCTAAGGCCTTTTGTTCCGCTTCCGAGCGGCAAGTCTCGTCCTCTGACCGGTCTGACTCACCGCGGCTGCCGCACACGCGCGACCTTGAGGAATGGCAACAACACGCACACATAATGGCAAGAAGCAACAGAGTCGCTGGAAAGAGCAGTGCGTACAAAGGACAACATGGTGGCATCCCCTCTATTTCATCACGTGCTCTCTCGCACAGCATGCACAGATGTCGCAGTCGACTTGCTGTGCAAGTCTGGAACTGAATGGGTTTCGTGCCCATTCTCCCCCTGCACATGCGCTTCTTTTTCTTCCTCCTCCTCCTCCTCCTCCTCCTCCTCCTCCTCCTCCTCCTCCTCCTCCTCCTCCCCCTTTTCCTCCTCCTCCTCCCCCTTTTCCTCCTCCTCCTCCTTCTCCTCCTCTTCCTCCCCCTCCACCTCCGCCTCCTCTTCCACCTCTCCCTTCCAGACCACATCTCGAGCCATGCTGCAGCCTCACGGCAAAAACGGCAACGGTACATCTGTCTGACCCTGCAGTGATGGAGACGGTCGCGTGCTGTGTCGTGCACCCTCTCGCGAAACTGTGCGGCGCAACCCCGCCACGTCTCGAACGCCACTCCGCGGACAAACTGCGAGCTTGAATGCCAGGGCACCCTATCGATACTCCATCGTGGCCAAGACTACTGCGGTCCGCCGCATGTTGCAGCGGACTGAACCAGAACCCCCCCATCGCTCGCACCCGGGCGTCCAAAAGACGAACATTGCAATGTGTGAACCATCGGGCGAGGGGCGGCGATTAGGAAATGGTACGCTTGCGCGGCGACAACAGCGAACCCCGCGCGCTCCTGCGCGAAGTTGCTGGTAGCCTCCGCGGCGCCACTCCGCATCCCCACGGCACCGCCAGGCAAGCCTTGCAGGCCCGCACCAGATCGGCGCGTGCCCGCGCGTCCACGGGCCGCCCCGACCTCCCCCGAGCCTCCCCCTGCCCAGCCAGCGAGCCGAGGCCTTGACCCCCCAGCTCGGGGAGCAGAGACGCTGCCAGTGGACAACGCCGCCGCGGGGAGGCCGTCAGCGTGCACTGCTGGCGTCCCCACACACCGAGCTCCTGGGAAAAGCACCGACGGAGGGAACCGCCGGCGGGCTCCCAGCGGCAGCGCGTGTCACTGCTGCTGTTCTCGCGACCAGCGCCGCGAGCGGAGGAAGGAAGGCTGCAGGGAGGCGGTGCGGCGTGGAAAAGGGGAGGGCTGCGCGCGCGCGCGCTGCTCCTGCTCCTGCCGTTGCTGCCGGCTCGCCCCCGCGCAGGGGCGAGGGCGCAGCGGAGAGGCGAGAGCGGCCCACGAGAGTGCCCGAACCAGCGCGCCGCGGTCGACCTCTGAGGCCTCCCTCCGTGGCCATGCCCCGTGGCGGCGCGCAAGAGGCAGGGGGGCGCCGGGGGGGGGGGGGGCCGTCCAAGAAGGCAGAAGGATTCGCCTCGAGGGGCCCAGGGACTCCTGGCAAGGCCCCTTGGCGGAAGGACGTACTCGAGAAGCCCCCCTCTGCCTTTTCAGGGCGCCCCCCCCCCCCCGCCCAACTCGTGCGAGCCCGAAACGAGGGCGGCCTGCCAAACTGCCAGCGCCGAGGTCAATCCACGAAAGCGCCCCCCTCCCTGGTCAGTCGTCGCCGCCATCGTCACCGATCGCCACCGCCGCCGCCGCCATCGCCGCGGTCGTCGCAGACGTCGTCTACGCCATCAACGTCCCCGTCGCCGTCTTCGTCGCATAGTCGCTGCCGCCACCATCCCCGTCGCCGTCATCGTTGCAGCCGCCGCCGCCGTCGTCGTCGTCGTGCCCGTCGCAGCTATCTTTGCCGCCGCCGCCGCTGCAGCGCCCAAAGCGGTGCCACCCCCGCCCCCACGACCAGTCGGACGGGCTGGCTGGTTGCGGCATGAAGCGCGGCGTGAGCGAGCCGGTGGTCTCGCCGCCACGGCCTCGACGGAAAACACGGGGGGGACAGCAGCGGCGGCAGGAAAACGAGGAGGAGCAGGAGGGGGGGCACGAGGGGGGAGAAAAAGGAGGAAGAGGAGGAGGGGCAGGAGGAAGGGGGAGGAGGAAGAGGAGGAGGAGGAGGAGGAGGAGGAGGAGGAGGAGGAGAGGAGGAGGAGGAGGAGGAGGAGGAGGAGGAGGAGGAGGAGGAGGAGAGGAGGAGGAGGGAGGAGGAGGAGGAGGAGGAGGAGGAGGAGGAGGAGGAGGAGGAGGGAGGAGGATAGGAGGAGGAGGAGGAGGAGGAGGAAGAGGAGGGGGGAGGGCGAGAAGGCGGGGAGGAGAAAAAGGCAAGAAAGATATCTGGGCGAGCAGGAAGCGCGAGGAACAAAGGAGGAGGAGGAGGAAGAGGAGCAGGATAGGATAGGGTAGGCCTCGGCCTTGCGCGTGTGCTGGGATGTTGGAGCTGACACGGTGTGACACACGTGCAACTACTCTACCTCAAACAATCGCACATCTGCTATACGAGATTCAGGGTGAAGCGCGCCGTGCAGCATTCGTCGAGAGAGTCGGCTCGGCTGTTCGCAATAAAGTAACGCTCGCGAGCTGGGGGGGGCACCCCTCTGGCCCCTGGAGGCCGACGCCCGATGGCACTGCGTGTGCCAGGCAGGCTTCCGATGCATCCACCCAGCCCAAAGAAAGAAACACAAAGCTTACTGCACTCAATCCGTCTCTGCCCCGACAGAGGCCGAGCACGCTCGACCATCCCCTTACACTCGGGCCCCGAAGGCATCCGATGAGCAGGGAACTGATCGAGAGGACGGGAGGGTCTCGGTCGAAAAGAGGAGGGAGGGGCGGCAGAAGACTTACGAGGCGGACCCGCCTCGACGGAGGAGCAGGGCGGGGGGGCAGAGTGGCCCGAGAGATAGGCACAGCACCTTCTGGGAGTATGCGCCCACGGGGATGACCATTACCATGCCCACGGCGGCAGAGAGGACGGCAGAGAGGACGCCGACCGGGGGGCGTTACGCTCTGGGCCGGTGGACTCCGCGGCGGTGGAGGTCAGCTGGACATTCGAGCACTGAAACTGCTAAACTGTGAAGCACATGGAATACGGTAGGGATCAGAAACACCCACGATAGTAAGATCACAGGTCGACGCAGGGACAGAGCCATCGGGACCATTCTTGGGTCAACCCCAGCAATGGACCAATTCCCAATTGTCTCAAAGCCGCCCGCGGGCGCAGGCCGAGCCCGCAGCTAAGTCATGGCGACCGAACCTAGTCCGCGACTAGGATTTGAAAGCTCATCACCCAAAGCAAAAGACACGACGACACGAGCCTAGGCCATGCAAGGATTTGAGAGCTCATCGCCCAGCAAAGAGAGAACATGGCGACACGAACCTGGTCAGCGACTAGGGTTTAGCCTCTCCTTCTCGGCGATGCGAGCCCTCGGGGCCTCCATGCGTGAAATCCAAGTAGGCGGGGCCACTGACCTCGATCCCGACCCTTGCCTCCGCCATGTTTCTGCTTCTCCAGCATCTTCTGAGCCAACCCCTCCAGATGGCCCTGGGGGGCCGAGCCCAGCTTCAGGACGCCGCCCATCCCCGCGAAGAGCTTCATCGCGGCCTGCTCGGGCATTAACTTTGAGAAGGTCACCGTCTCCCCCGAGACTTTGGCAAGGCCGACCCCGTCTGCCAGGGCGAACTGGGGCCTCGCGCGCTGGTCGTCGTAGCACTTCTTGCAGCGGAAGTGACGGATCAACAAGCCTAGCTCCGAGGTCTGTCCAAGCTGCACGAACTTGATGTAAAACAGCCTGACCACAGCCAAACCTCCCCCCCCCCAACTTGAGGCTCGATTCGGCCTCCGCGAGACACTTGAACCCAGCGCGCGCCATGCGTAAATGAAGTGGGCACACCCTCTCCATGAGCGATGCCATACCAGTAGCAGCTGCGCAGAGCTTCTCAGTGCCTCTGCCAGCCACCATAGTCGGCGCCATCGCGGGAAGCACCACGCCCATCCACTCCGCTGCGGCAAGGTCCCTCAAGAGCTGAGAGTGCACGCAGCAACCTTTCTAGGAGGAGGTTCAGCACCTGAGCAACGCATTTTGGTTCGAGTGCGACCTCGACCTGCATCAGAATAGAATATGCCTTGCCCGCTGCCTCTGCCACTCCTCATTTTGCCTTCTTGGCTCGTGCGTTTGCGTCGGCCCCCCCTTCCGCCGCCCCCTGTCTCTTGCCCCGCTGGATGAGGGTAGCGAGCGCGAGGTCTACGATCACGCCGTCTCCGCCCCCCCCCCCCCCCCCGACGCCGCCATGTTCGAGGCGTCGGACTGACAGGGATGGAGTGGGCAGGTCGCATCGCGTGCGGATGTGGAGTTGAAGATGACATAGGTCTTGAGACCAATGACAACATACTAGGCACACACGCTCGTTGGGGACGATCACGTCCTGCGCCATGAGAGAGTTCCGTCCACGACTGCATACTTTACGTTTGAAAGATCTCATCACGTGTCGTTATGCGTTTTCTCTCGTGCTCAAGACCTGGAGGCAAAGGAAGCATTGATTTGTCACCGTGAGCAAGCTGACTTCGTTTCCTACTCTGTGAGCTCGGCCAGCGCGGAGGAGGAGCGCCTTCATGGCGCTGAAGAGCTCACTGCACATGACGCCCGCGGTGAGCACCATTATTGCACACGTATGGGGGCCCGACTGGGCCGTCTCCTCCTCGACCCCAAGGACCTCTGGAGCCTCGGAGCGAACCCGGGCGGGGCGAACGATCCGAGTAGGCATTGGCCCGCAGGACCGAGAAGTCCAAGGAAGCCCAGCGGCGATAATCCTGGACGCACAGCAGTTTGAGGAGGTGGTAGTCTTGGGGAACCATTTCCGAGAAGCCCCCGCAGCGGGCGCAGCCGCGTCGGAGGTCCTCGAGAAGCTGATGAGCCCAGCGGTTGGCCTTTGGGGAGAGCTCCCAAGAGTCCGCGATCGCATCGCAGTCGCCCTCCGAGCCCAAGATGCAAGCCCTGAGTTGGCGACGCGAATCGGGGCGACGGGCCCAGCCCTGGTACCAGCCCAGACGGCGGACCCCAAGTTCGTCGAGTGCCGGCAAAATCCTCCAGTGCTCCCAGACTGCAACCGCAGGCCAGCGACGCATCTCCCCCTCCTCGCCCCTCGCGGTCCTCAGGAAGCCCGGTCCCCGGCGCATGGCTAGCACCATGGCCCGATCAGCCTGTTCACGGAAGGTGGCATCCGGCACCCTCGCCTCCATGCCTGAGAGCACGGCAGCCTGCGCGATTGAAATGATCGCCATGCTCTTGCCTGCCCTCGCTGCTGGTTTCACAAGGAAGCACGAAATGAATCCGAGACCGCTCTTGCCTGCCACCACTCTTCTTGACTTTCCCGTCGCAAGAGAGCCTGCGGTGGCCAGCCAACCCCCCAAGATCCGGATGCGTCGGCCTCGAACACCCGACGCCTTCAGAACTCCAGTGCACCAGAGCCTGCGTTGACCAATACAGCCCCAACCGAAGATACGTGCGAGGATGAACCTCTTGCGGGGGTTGAGCGCGATACCTATCTCCTGCAAGGCCAAGCTCAAGCGAGAGCTGCTCGATTCCGCCAGGGCCGCCAGAAGCGCGGTCTCGCTCCCAGAAGCGTGTGGCTCAGGACCCCAACCAGGTATATCGTGTTCGTGATATCGTCGGCGAAAATCGTCAGCCCCACGTCGCATGAGTTTCCACCGATCTCAATCGCTTCGGCGTCTTGTCTCGAAGTCGCGCGGGAGCGGTGATCGTGAAATCGAGCGAGACCAAACTCGTAATAGTAAGGAAACGCACGAGCGGGGCTGGGGTGGCCCATCATCTCTCCCGTCGTCGGCCTCAACGAAATCGCCCCGGAAGGTGGGTCGATATGACGGGCCCCCTGGATGGTACACCTATGCTGGAACTCCTCGCAGTACCGGGAGGGGAGGACTCTGAGGATCGCGTTTCTACCCGTGCTCGCAAACTCATTGGTAGCATCCTCATGGACGGTGGCGTGCGAGAGGCCCTCTTGCTCGAGCCCCCAGGCCGTGCCGGCCTGGACAGCGATGGCGCCCTCGCGCCTCCGACGGCGAGCGAAACCGTGGCAAGCAATGGACGGGGAGCGCTTCTCTGTGCCGGCGACCGCGGGGCCACGGCCACGAGTCCCAAGCCTTCCCCGTCGAGCAGAACAGATGAATCCACCTCTGGCCCGCTGGTCCAAGCGTGCCGCTCTTCTTGTCCAGGCCGCTGCACGATGAAATATCAAAGAGCAAGGGTGACTGTCTTGAGAGTCTGAATGGGGCGGTGATGTCGATCGTCCGCTCGCGGACAGCAGTGGCCGTCATCGGGTACTGGTCCGCGCCTAATCCCGTCCGCTTGAGGTGTCCAAGACCGCGGAGTCCAGTATGAGGAGCCATAGCCCCCAGGGCATGGACCAGGGAGGGCACGCGCGACGCTTCGGAGACGAGCGAAGAGCCTGGATCATGCCATTGAGGTCCGTCTCTGCTTGCTCCAAAACCCACCATCTGCATAGTATCGCATCTGGCCTAGTCGCTACGGAAGTTTGCGTCGTACTCATCATCGTGGAGGGCCCGATCGAAACTTTCGGCCAGTTCACGCTGAAGATCGCACGGCACGCCACCCAGGCCGCCCTCGGCCGCTGGTCTCTGCAGGAAGGAGGAGATCTCGGCTGTTTCGCACTGCTCGCTCTGGATCACGACATATCTCATGTTACTAGGACCGCGGCCGCGGCGAGAGAGGCCACGGATCAAGCGCTGGACTGTGTTGTGGTCGTGGGACGACCATGCCTCGTTTAGCTCCAGCACCAAGGCGTCCGTTGTCTCCTTGGAGATCCGCTTGGACAAGTGACGACGGATGCGGTATGTCGTGCGTGCCAATTCGAGTTCAATCTCAAAAAGATCCCGAGAGAAGAGAACTTACAACTGGTGAATCAGGGATAGGGGGGAGGAGGGGGGGGAGGAGAAGGAGGAGGAGGAGGAGGAGGAGGTCTTGAAGAATGCCGTCTTGGGCCACCTTGCTCGTCGAGACACGCCAAGGCACCACACATCCCATCCTCCTCATCGTCCTGCTGCTCGACCCCACGCTAGAGCCAGCCGGGACCGTCCCTTGGTGGCTAGCAAGGCTCAGGCTACCATCCAGCCCCAGAAGAATCGAGGACAGTAAAGATGACGAAGGGGAGGACGAGAGCGAGGAGAAGGACAAGGAGGGGGATGAGGAGCAGCAGCAGGCGAAGGAGAGACGGTAAGATACCAGCACCCACAGACGAGGACTCCAGCTGAACAAGGCAAAAAAGCTCAAACATCTTCGTGCCATCGCACCGCCCCCCTTGGAGAAGGGCAGCCGTTCTGGCCCGGACCGCGGCGCGCGAAGCGGCCCCCGCAGGTGGCCTGGACTGCCGAGCTGAAAGGAGGACGAGGAGAAGGAGGAGGAAGTTGAAGGCGGAGGGGGGAGGAGGAGGTAGGAGGAGGAGAAGGAGGAGGAAGAGGAGGAGGAGGAGGAAGAGAAAGAGGAGGAGGAGGAGGAGGAGGAAGAGCAGCAGGAGGAGGAGGAGGAGGAGGAAAAGGACGAAGAGGAGGACGACGAGGACGACGACGGCAACAGAGGCGGCAACGACGACGGCGGCGGCGCGGGGCCTGCAGCGGAGGCCGCGGCGCCCGTGAGCGCGCAGAGGGCCGCCTGGTAGAAGGCCTGCCCCTCTCGCGCGCTCCCCCCTGTGTTGCAGCCCTCCTCTGGGAGGGCTGTCCTGGCTGCCCCAGCCGACCTGGCCGACCCCCCAGCCAGAGCATCACAAGCCCGCACCCCGCCAGAAGCCGCGCACCACGGGTCGAAGGGCCCGTCTCACGTGCAGCCGAGGGGATCCTCACGCAGTCCTGTACTCCTATTCCTGTTCTTCGTCACCTCCGCGTCTGGCCAGCGCAGCACGGAGATCGGGCTGCCGCTTGGCGATCCCTCGGGCCGGCGCCCTGAGCAGCGTTGCCAGTCTGCCACCACCGAAACGGCCCTCACCACCTCGGACTGCCCCTCCCCCGGCGGGAGAAGCACCAAAACCACCTCCGCCACTGCCAGGGAGAGGGCTGCCCCCAAAAATCCTCACTAGCTTGGACGGGAGTAATACGAAAGGCTGAGCAGCGCCATACGAGGAGGAGTAGGAGGGGGAGCAGGAGGAGGAGGAGGAAGAGGAGGATCTTGAGGTAATATGGCTTTGGTGCGCCTTCACCCAGGAGGAGGAGGAGGAGGAGTAGGAGGAGGAGGAGATGGAGAAGGGAGGAGGAGGAGGAGGAGGAGAAGAAGAAGAAGAAGAAGAAGAAGGAGAAGAAGAAGAAGAAGGAGAAGGAGAAGGAGAAGAAGAAGAAGAAGGAGAAGAAGAAGAAGAAGAAGGAGAAGGAGAAGGAGAAGGAGAAGGAGAAGGAGAAGGAGAAGGAGTAAGGAGAAGAAGAAGAAGAAGAAGAAGGGAGGAGGAGGAGAAGAAGGAGAAGGAGAAGGAGCAGGGAGGAGGGAGAAGGGAGGAGGAGGAGGAGAAGGAAAAGGAGGAGGAGGAGGAGGAGGAGAAGGAAGAGGGAGGAGGAGGAGGAGGGAGGAGGAGGAGGAGGAGGAGGAGGAGGCCGAGAACGCCCGAGGCAAGGGCGAAGCCCTCAGACCCAACGTCTTGAGAAAAACAGGGCAGAAATGCAGCGCCGTGCTCGGCCTCTGGAGGCCCTCGCTGGGCCCCGGGACCGTCAAAGAACGCCTCGGGATGGGAAGCTGGAGGAGCAACGAACGAGATCCTCGCCCGGCCCCGGGACCGTCAAAGAACGACTCGGGATGAGAAGCTGGAGGAGCAACGAACGAGATCTCAGGCACGGTGGCGGGATCTGGAGTGTCACCGACGGTCCCAGGGAAAAGGTCGAGGCTTCCTGGGACCCGTAATTATCAAAACAAAATTAAGACATCAGATCTCTGGGAGGAGGTGGCGGCCGCGGAGAGAGAGGACTGCGGGGGCGGCGAGTCTTGCCGAGGGGCAGCCAGGGGGGCGCGGCCGAGCAGGAAGGCCAGAGAGGCCCAGCCCAGGCCTCCGGAGGCAACTTCTGGGAGGCCTTCGTGAGCGAAGTTGCAGGCTAAAGAGCCGAAGTGAGGGGCCATTCATCTGGATTAAGCCAGCTTGAGCCAAGGACTAGGCCCGAGTAAGCGGGAGTGACCGACATGAAACAGGGCTGGGCCGGTCTTTCATACCACTGACACACCAGCGCCCATGCTGAATTTGACCTCCCAGGAGTTGCATCCTACTCAGGACCCCCGCCGAGCTGATTATTTCACAACGTCGATCCCAAAAAGTTTCGACCCAGTCCCACTGCGCCGACCTTGCAGACGTACTGCAGCGGAATTGTGCGTGGATCTCTGTCAATGCAAGACACCAAAACGGCGAGCGAAAAGCGACGTGAATTTCACGTGGATGTTTTGTAGTCCTCACTCATGGCCAACAGCAAATCCGCACGAGATTCATTTCGAGATCCAGAACGACATGCTTCAGGACAATCGGGGCCCATCCCATTCTTTTCCGAACCAAATCCGCTCTGCGATGTTGGCGCCATGACCACTCCCCAGGACCAGCTTTTCCTCTTCTTCAGCCGTTCTGCGACGGCCCCCAGGGGCCCGGCGACGGCCCCTGGAAGCCGAGCATATCACCAATGACCTTCCGTCACGATCTCTGTCCCGACGCAGAGGGCGTCGGGGCAGCAGCGCTCACCGACGCCGCGACTGCCTCGCGGCGTGGGCCCCCCACGGAGCCCGAGCATATCGCGAAGACCTTCCGTCACGCTCTCTGTCCCGACGCAGAGGGCGTCGGGGCAGCAGCGCCCACCGACGCCGCGACTGCCTCGCGGCGTGGGCCCCCCGCAGAGCTCGGGGACCCCTCCGCTCGGGGACCCCGCTCTCCACATCCGGGGGCGCTCCGCGGACGGGCCTGCGGGCCCGGCGAGGGCCACCTCCCGGCCCGAGGGCTGCCCAGGAGCCGCGGCCGCGCGGGGCTCCTGTGCCGATTGCCCGGAGGGAGGCTGGCATCCAGAGACCCGACGCCTCGAGCTCTCAAGACTGGACAAGCGCGCTCCACGACTCGCAGAGCAGCTCCTCGCAAGTGGTCTGGATAACCGCCGCGGGGGATCGACGACCCGCTACCTCGAAGCCAACAGGTGCTTCTTGAACGCTTGCGAAGAGTTCTAACTGTGCGAGTAGTGGAACGCGCTCGGTGATGGACGGGGCCCCTGAAGAGAGCCCCTTTCCTCCTCCCCGTCCTTCCTCCTCCTCCTCCTCCTCCTCCTCCTCCCTCCTCCCCCTCATTCCTCCTCCCTCCTCCTCCTCCCTCCTCCTCCTCCTTCTCCTCCTCATCCTGCCTCGTGCTTCGACGGTCCTGGGGTCCGGCGAGGGCCGCCCGAGGCGCCCAGAACTGGAGCGTCAAAACCACCGTCTTGATCTCTTCAACACGTTGGAGGTCTGGGCATCGAGGGTCTACACACATCGACGTCATGATTCAAGATGCCCTCACCGTCCCCAATCCAAGTCGACAACATGGCTGTTGTTCCGACGCCCAAGACCCGTTGGGCTCCTGAGGAAGAAGAAGAAGAAGAAGAAATGCTGCTGATCTGCTTCCTCCTCCTCCCCTTCTTCTTCCTCGCCCCCTGCCCTTATCAGCCGGCTCAGTGCTTCGCCAACTTCTGCTTGCGGTTGCTCGAGTTTGATATCTTGCCCACGCGCCAGACGGCATCAGATTTGTGTGTATGTAGTCGCTCGAGCGCCTGCTAGTTTTCACCCACCTGTGCCCACTCAGCGGCCGCCCCATCCGCGGGCATGCAGGCTCGACCCCCTGACCCCTGCCCAGAAGAATGGGCGTGGGGGGCAAATCGAGGCCTCCTAGATGGGGTCCGAGTAGATGGGGTCGGAGGGTCGCGCCGCATCGCCAACGCAACGCCGACACATCGGCGACACAGCGGCGATGCATCGGCGATGCATCGGCGATGCATCGCTGCCATCGGAGATGCATCGGCGACGTCGGCGTGGAGAACGCGGAGAAACTCGGGCTCCATATCCAGCCGCATCGCCGACCAATCGGCGATGCGGAACGATCCTCCGACCCCATCTGCTCGGACCCCCTCTGGGAGGAGGAGGAGGAGGAGGAGGAGGAGGAGGAGGAGAAGGAGGAGGAGGAGGAGGAGGAGGAGGAGGAGGAAGAGGAGGAGGAGGAGGAGGAGCAGGAGGAGGAGGGGGGGGGTCCAGGGTCGAACAAATCGACCCCGAGACCTGTCCCCAGCGGGCGTTCTGGCCGGAGCTTCGGGACGGAAGCAGGCCGTGGCCACGAGGAGCCCCCCCCCAAAAAAGCAGGGCCCGAGGCCCGCAGTGCGGACGGCCGCGAGGGCTCGCGGCGCGGAGTTGCGCAACAAAAAGCAGCAGGCCAGACAAGCAAAGATGCGGCGCGGAGGCAGGCAAGCCCGAGGTGTGCCTGGAGCGCATGGGTGCACAACCGAGCAGGCAGCACACAAAAAGACAAGCGCACAGCCCAAAGGCGACAGGCAGACAAAAAAAAAGCAGACGGCAGGCAAAACGGCAGAACGACAGCAGCCAAGCAAACAAACAAGCACACGAGCAGAATGCGGCGCGGACGGCGCCCGCCCCCGGCCCCGCCGAGGAGACGCGCCAGGTGCGCTCGTTGAACGCGGCCATGTCGCGGCTGATGTCGCCCAGCTGGGCCGCGAGCAGCTGCTCCGTCAGCTGCGCCGCCGAGTCGAACAGGCCCAGGTGCGGGAAGATGCTGTAGTCCGTGAGGTGGAACCTGCGGGCACGAGGGGGGAGAGGAAGAAGGAGGGGGGGGTACGATGACAACGAGGATGAGGAGAGGGGGAACACATGAAGAAGAAGGATGTCAGACAGCGTGGGCCCCAGACAGCGGATTACTGCACCGTGGAGGTGGGAGCCATACTGTGTGGGCTATGTGGTCAAAGCTATGTGGTGTGAACCTGCGGGCACGGGGAGGGAGAGGTGAAACCTGCGGGCACGAGGAGGCACTCGACTCAACTGCTTGGGGGGCGGACCCATTCTCATGCAGAGGGCGGTGGGTAGCCGAGGGAGAGGGTCCCCCGAAAGCGGCCAGGCAGCCAGGGATGTCCGACAGCTGGGCCAGGCGGAAGAAGAAGGAGGGGAATGATGAAGATAGGGGTGACGACAAGAGAAGGAACAATCAGAGAATAGAGGAAGAGGCGGAGAGGAAGGAGGAGAAGAGGGAGAACCACAAGAAGCTTGCTGACACTCGTGAAACAAGATTGCCAGGAGGGGGGGGGGAGGACATGAAGACCGCCATGGCGGCGGGCACGCTTCCAGGCCCGGCTACGACCGTGCGGACAAGGCCAGCAAGGCCTCTGGATGCTGCCGGCCTGCTGCGTGCGGGGGAGGCGGGGCACGCGTGCACGAGGCGCGCGAGACGCACAGCGGGTTGAAGAAACAGGTATAATCCGAAGGCTGCTGGCAGTTTCCGAGACAGCGCCGGGAGGCTATCGGCGGGTTCTCCAGTGCTCCACGGGGGCTGTGGAGAAGGGTGGGCATTTCAGCGACGATCAAGAGCGGATCTCACGCGAGATGACGTAGCGACCTCACGCGGCGGCTTACGCGGGCCGCCAGCGCGGCACGCCACATTGGAAACGAGGGCGCTTGCGCGCGACCTTACGCGGGCAGCTTGCGCGCCCATGTCGGTGTGGACGACCATTTTTGTTTGTGCGTCACTCCTTTGGCGCATACAGCAACAGCAGAAAAGCATGTCAGATACTCTCTGCGGCCTCCAGGGCTTCTGGACGTTTCGGTTGCTTTTTCCCTGTGCATCCCAGGGGTCTGGATGAGGAGAAGGTGAAGGAGAAGGAGGAGGAAGAGAACATGCCGATTGAAGTTCGTTCAACGTTAAAAGGGAAGACAGAAGAATATTTAGTGGGTTCGGGAGGAGCCTGCCAGGCTTGCAGGGTTTACGGGATTCCAGGAGGTAACTCAAAGAAGGGGGGGGGGGCACGGCCACGACGGCGCGGGAGGGCGCCAAAGCGACGCTCACCGAAGGGACGGGCGGCGGCGGCGAAGCTCGACAGGTGCACGAATCACGATCGGCAAGCGACAGAATATTTTGAGCACGCAGGGGTAAACCTCGCCTGTGCTTGCAGAAGCGCAGGCTATGGTCTTGCCATCGCTCGGACGTCCATTCCCCGTGAATCCCACCAGCCCCCTCTGGGCGACAGCTGGTCTAACGATGTCCTTCTTTCCTTTTCCACAACCCCTTCTTCCGAAGGGGATTTATCATTGTTCCCTATTGATATACATCCCCTCCCCCAGGCGACCAGCGGCCAACCAGGAACCATGCTCCCAACCCCCCACCATCCCTATCAAGAAACAATACAGTACGCACTCTGCCTCCACATTTGGAGCATGCGTGGCCAACCCGATGCGCCCTCCCCCACAATCCCTATCAAAAACAATACAAAGTACACTTGATGGTAAAATCTTGAGTCATGTTCGTGAGGCCCGCGAGCAATCCGTCTTGTTTTTGACAAGGACGGCGGGGGTGTCAGCATATTGCCTGCTGTGCGCAGGGCTACCACCCCTATCAAAAAAACAATACAAATGCACCTCGCGACTAAATCTGGATTGTGCGCGGCAACCCCGCGATCACTGTCATTTTTTTGTTGACAGGAACGGCGGGGATAGTGGCGCGTGGCCTGGTTTGCGCAGGCCCACCAGACACGTCAAGGATGGTGGGGGCCGGCACGCTTCCCGATGTGTGCTGTCACGTGCGCAGGCGCACCTGACACACTCTGCACGTGCCCCGAAGGTGGCGCACATGGCGTGGCTGGAGTGTGCAGCACACCTGGCGCACTCGGAGCACGTGGCGCATCCGGCGCACCACACGTGCCTGGCACGCTCGGGCCCTAGGGGTGCCTGGCGCGCGTGGCGCGCCTGGCACGCGTGGCGCATCTCGCCCCAGCGTCGCGCACATGGGGCCGGCTTTGATTCCCAGCAGCTGTCCATCCAAAGACGACCGCTGAACATGCTCCGGCTCGGGTTTTACATATGTGTTGGGAGGAAAGGTGGGAGTGAGCTAGACGACTTGGTATCCAGGGGATGTCTTGATCACTGTTCCTTATTAACACACACACACACACACACACACACACATACCCCAGGCGACCGGCGTCCAACCAAAAACCATCAGGACACCATGCCGACCCGCCACCCACAACCCTGGTCAAGAAACAATACAAACCGCACTCTGCCTCCACATGTGGAGCATGCGCGGTCAACCCGATGCGGCCACCCCCCACCATCCCTGTCAAAAAACAATGCAAAGCACACTTTGGGGCAAAGTCTTGAGTCATGTTCGTGGGGCCCGCGAACACTTTGTACTGTTTTTGACAAGGACGGCGGGGGGGCCAGCATATTCCCTGCCGCGCACAATGCTACCATCCCTGACAAAAAATGCACCTCGTGGCTACATGTGGATCATGCGCTGCCATCCCGCGATCACTCTCATTTTTTTCTGACAGGGACCGCGGGGGTGGTGGCGCGTGGCCTGCTGTGCGCAGGCCCACCAGACACAACGATGGGCATTGGTTTTCGACAAGGATGGCGGGGCCCGACATGTTTCCCGATGTGTGCTGTCGCGTGCGCAGGCGCACCTGACGCAGTCTGCACGTGCCCCGAAAATGGCGCACCTGGCGCTGCTGGAGTGTGCGGCACACGTGGCGCACTCGGAGCACGCGGCGCATCTGGCGCACCCGGGCCCCAGGGGTGCCTGGCGCGCGTGGCGCGCCTGGCACGCGTGGCGCACCTCGCCCCAGCGTCGCGCACATGGGGCCGGCTTTGAGTGCGGGCGGGTGGGTAGCTTGATCACTGTTCCCTATTAGTATACACCCCTTCCCCCAGGCGACTGGGAGCCAACCCAGGTCCATGCGGGCCCCCCCCACACCATCCCTTGTTAAAAACAATACAAAGACACACACACACACACACACTCTCTCTCTGCCACCACCATCCCTTGCAAAAACCATACAAAACACACTCTGCCCCCAGATTCGGAGCATGCGCAGCGAACCCGATGCGGCCTCCTCCCACCATCCCTGTCCAAACAAAACAAACAACAACAACAAAAAAAACAATGGCGGCGGCGGCGGCTGCGGCGCCTGCGGCGGGGGCAGCGGCTGCAGCTGCTGCGGCGTTGGCGGGGGCGGGGGCGGCGGCGGGGGCAGCGGACGCCGCGGCGGCGACGGCGGCGGCGGCGGCGGCAGCGGTGGCGGCAGCGACTGCGGCGGCAGCGGCTGCGGCGGCGGCGATTCGGCAGCGGGGGCGGCGGCGGTGGCGACGACGGCGGCGCGGCGGCGGGCGGCGCGGTGGCGGTGGCGGCGGCGGACAGCGGCGGCGGCGACGGCGGCGGCGCGGCAGCGGCAGCGGCGGCGACGGCGGGCGGCGGCGGCGGCGGGCGGCGGCGGCGGCGGCGGCGGCGGCGGCGGCGGATGCGCCCCCAGTAGCTGCCCCTTCAAAGACGACTGCTGCAAATGCTGCGGCTCGGGCCAGGCTCGGGTGCTACGTATGTGTTGGGAAGGCGGGTGGGAGTGAGCGAGACGGCTTGCGGGCGGGGAGGGAGACTCGGGGGGGGGGCGCGAGGTGTCAGAGGGGCCTTTTTCGCCCAAGATGGCTCCAAGAGGGCCTCAGAGAGCCCAAGCTAGCCCCGATCGAGGTCCCGCTTCGAGATCCGCCGGAAGCCTGGCCTCGGCGGCGGCTGACCTCCGCCTCTCTTCCGGTCGAAGAAATTCCCGTCGACTCGCCTGGCGTTCGTCATGTCCTTGGACTCCTGCCACGCGCGCCGACGCCTGGGCTCGGCCGGCGACCTCCGCGAACACCTGATACGCCTGCTCCTCGTCTAGATTCTGATCGTCGATGGCCAACAGTAGCGTCAGCGCTTCGTCCTCGGGAAACTCTACCTCCAAAAGGTCGCGCGCCTCGTCTGGCTCGTCGATCCTCTCCTCCTGCTCATCTTCCGCGCCTAACTCCGCGCAACCTCGACGGTCTGGGCGCTAGCACTGGCAGCACTGTCTTCTCTCTCACGTCCATGGCTAGCAGGGCCTTGCGCACTGCGCGCAGTGATCGGTCGTCGCCCATCAGCGTCCTCATGCTGACCTTAGTCTGGCCCTGCAGCATAGCACCTTCCTTGAAGTACCTTGCCAGGAGCTGATCTGGCAGGGTGAATCCGAATCGCTCGGCCACGCTGACCTGGCTGTCTCGGCGAACCACGTACTCGGTCAGTGATTCGCCGGTACGGAAATTGAAATCTGAACGCGCACGATTCTGAGCCTCGCGCCCCTTGCCTCCTGGCTTCTCTCCCGACAACAACTCCAGATGGGCAATCAGCACGTCCAGGCAGTTTTCTGCGTCCAGCTTGTGTCTCAGCGCTCTAAACTTGGCTTGCAATTTCACTGGCAGCGACTCGAGAACCTTGCCGGCCTGATTGGTGGGCTTGAACCCGGTCCTCAGCTTCCACGAGCTAAGGTTGTCCCTGTAGAGCTGCAAGTTCCTGAGCCCGTGGAAGACTGGGGGGGCCGAGAAGTCTCGAGATCGCTCTTCCCACGACGAGCGTCCTCCCAGCCTGTGCCAGCTTCCCCACTCATCGCGTGAGGATTTGGCGTCTTCGTCGTCGGATGTCCACGTCCACTTGCCGCCGGAACCCTTCTGCCATGAGGTCCACGACTTCCACCACTCAGCGGCGTCCTGAGAGGAACGCGTTCCACGATTTGCAAAGTAACTACTCGCAAATGGCCTAGATCCGCCGCGGGGGGATCTACGATAAATTACATCAAAACAAACATGTGTTTATCGGACGTTTGCGAGTAGGCCCTTTGCGAATAGTGGAACGCGCTCGGTGAATCCTTCCAAGGGTAGTGTTTTCCTTTGTCCTCGCCGGTCTTCACCGCCAGGGAGGGGTCTGCCTCCTCAGACCCTGGTAGTTGTCCGCTCCCGTCGTCACCCTCCGTGCCACCGTTCCGCTTACCATTGTTCGCATCATCGCGTGACATTGGATCGAAATCGAACGAAGGGACCTTTCTTCCAAGGACCGGGAAAGCACGGCTAACCTCCGTGAGAAGGCATCATAGACCTAAGCCCACATGGGCTACGTATCGCACACGACAGACACATAGTGGGGAGGGGTAGGAGAGGAAGCAGAAGACAGGCCCAAGAGGAATTTCCAAAATGATCGACCCGACGGTACCAAAATCATGTATTTTCCGTTGTTGCTTTGCTGATTTGTGTGTTTGCTTCTGCTCGGCCCTCCGACCGCCCAAGATGTCCCAAGAGGCCACCAAGGTGGCCCCAATAGCGCCCAAGAGGCCTCCAAGATGGCCCCCTGACGGCCCCCGAGACTGCCCCAAAAGGGCCCTAAGACGGCTCAGGAGACCTCCAAGACGCCCAAGACTGCATTTAAGACAGTCCTGAAGCGCCCCAAGAGGGTCCCGAGTCGGCCAAGAAAGGCCCCCAAGACGGCTTCCGACAGCGTCAGAGGAGCCAGGAACGCCCAAGAGGAGCTGAAATTGCACAACGCCCGCCCCCAAGAGGCACAAGGAGGCTTCCAAGAGGCCTCCAAGAGGCCCCCAGGAGGCGCCAAGGAGGCCCCAAGAGTGCCCCAAGAGCTACTCAGAGGCCTCCTCCTCCTCCTCCTCATTCTCCTCACCCTCTTTCCTCCCTCTCGTCATCTTCCTCTTCCTTGCCCAAGTGTTCCCCGAAGGGTTCCCACAACGACTGCGGGAACACACAGTCCGATAGCGTGGCCGAGCTCTGGCCACAGCGTTCGGCCACATAGACGCTTCCAAAAGCCAGGGGGCGGCGATTATTCACCGTAGGCGCCTTCGATCACCCACCTACGCATACACACCTCATGTGCGCCAATATCGCACCGTAAAGCGCAAACCATGAAATTGACGAGGTGAATAGCACTAGTCAATCATGAGAGGCTCCACACTCAAGCGGGCGAGGAACCAAAACGCGGCCGTCACTGGCGAGTCCACGTGCAGCTCCTGTCAAGGGAGGACGCGCTGGAAACGGGCAGCGCCCAAAGATACAACAACGGAAGGGTCATCAAAGTCGCGCTGGACAAGGAAGGCTCATAGACAAGCGCGTTCCACTACTCGCAAAGTAACTAGTCGCAAATGGCCTGGATCCGCCGTAGGTGGATGTACGACACATTACATCGATGCAGACATGTGCCCTTCGGACGTCTGCGAGTAGACACTTTGCAAGTAGTGGAACGCTTGCGACCCAACACGGCCACGACGACCAGGTCCCTCACGCTGAAGACAAAGCGTGCCCCAAGAAAAACAGAAACAAGACGCTGCACAAGATGAGGTCGAAGCACGACACGGCGGCCGCCGGGTGGCGATAGCGGGGCGTAGGCCTGGAGGCCCCGACGCCCCGCGCCCGCCCCCGCAGGGGCCGTGCTGGTGGTAGGAGGTGAGCTCAGCACGCGACG